TTACTGCCAAGCAGTTTAACAACACACTGCAAGGAGGTGAAACTGATCCAACAAAAGGGGCAGCACAGGCAACTCCAGGCCAATTACCTGCTTACCAAAACTTTCAAACTGCTAACTGGCGTGGTAGCTGATGCAGTCCAACAGCATCTAGTTGAAAAGAAGCTCTTTCCATCTGAGCAGAAAGGAAACCGCCCAAACAGCAGAGGAACAAGAGATCAGCTCCTAACTGACAAGATGATTGTGAAAAACTGCAAGAGAAGGAAGACCAATTTGAATGTAGCTTGGATTGATTACAGGAAGGCGTTCGACTCTCTGCCACATGACTGGATAATCAAGTGCCTAGAAATCACAGGAGTCACTAGAAACATCAAAAGCTTTGTGCAAAGATCAGTGGCACAATGGAAGACACAGTTGGTGGTCAATGATGATAGCCTGGGAGAGGTTAATATCAAGAAAGGAATTTTTCAAGGAGACTCACTATCACCACTACTGTTTGTCATTGCATTGATTCCTCTGTCAACAATCCTGAACAAGTCAGGCCATGGCTATCAAACATCAAAAACATTTGCTAGGCTCTCCCACCTCCTTTACATGGTCAATCTGAAGCTGTATGGAAAAACACCACCTGAAATGGAATTGCTGCTCAACACTGCCCAAATATACAGCCAAGATATTGCAATGGACTGGACAAACGTGCCCCCCTGACCATCAACAGGGGAAAAATAGTGAAAACTGAAGGAATCAAGATGCCCTGTGGAAATAATATCAAGAGTCTGGATGAAGAAGATCACTACAAATACCTGGGCACCCTTCAAACTGACAACATCAAGCACGCTGAAGTCAGGAAGAAGGTTAGGAGTGAATACATCATGAGAGTGAAGAAGATAAGTCCAAACTCAGTGGAGGAAATACCATCAAGGCAATTCCAGTCATTAGATACACAGCTAATAGTGGTATAGTGGACTGACACATAGAAGCCCTGGACAGGAAGACCAGAAAAATAATGACAAATCATGCCCTTCGTCCACAAGCAACGTTGACAGACTCTACTTACCAAGGAGCATAGGTGGGCGTGGAATGTTGCAAGGACAACAGACAGTTGAAGAAGAAAAAGGGCATTGGAAGAATGAAGAAAATGCACCATGAAGGCTTACTGAATACTGAAGAGACCAACCTGCCCTACAAGAAAGAACAAATGAAGAATAGAAAAGAGACATGGCAAGGCAAAGTATTACATGGCCAGTACACAAAAACGCACACACGTGTGCACACACACACACACACAC